CAAGGAAAATGGAGTCCCCGGAGTTAAGCATCATACTTTAAATATCCACCACCTATTGCAAGTGGTAGAAATCAAATTGATTTTCACAAGTGGTATTTCTAAACTGATATCATCATATTGATTTCATTTTGGTATTTATATGCTTTCTCCATGCATTATATAGATTAAACTCCCTTGAGCATTAATTTACCAATTATGCATAAATTACATTCTCCATCATATGTATGCATATATTTAGGGGGAGCTTAGCCTATGTAATGTGAGAGTCAAATTTTCTGATCCATTCCACTCCACATACAAAGGATCACAAAGTTTGACCCTCCCTTGTGTTACTAATGTCTTCCTTTTCGGTGTTTGATTTTAAAGGGGGAGAATTTAGAGGACCAAAAGCAAGCATTAATTTGTAGGATCAAAAGCAAGATCATAATAATTTACAAGTGGTAATGGTCCAAGAAAGGAAGGATAGTAAATTATGGATTAGTCTATGTAATGGGGAGAATTTGTAGGATCAAAAAGCAAGGCTTAGATCCATAATACCACATGGGGACATTTGCAAGGGCAAGATAAGTTTTCAAGTGGTATCCTTTAGTCTTACAAGTGGTATCTTTTAGCATCATATAACCTTGCCCTTTTGCATTGCATCCTAGCAAGTAGATAGTTTTTAAATTGCAAATTTTTATTATTTGCTTGTTTTGGTTGTGTTGTCAACAATCACAAAAAGGGGGAGATTGTAAGAAAATGGATCCTAGGCCCATTTACTTTAGATTTTTGGTGTTTGATGACCAACACAACCAAATTGGACTAATGAATTAGTAAGTGTTTGTTTTGTAGTCTAATAGGATGCAAGACGTGATTTGGACAAAGACGACGTGATGATCCCACGATCAACACCTTAAGCAAGACCTTAGAACCACAAGAGAAGACCTAAGATATCAAACAAAGTCCAAGCACGAAGATAGGAACCAAGCCGGACGCAAGATCGCGAAGAAACGAGCTCACAGAGGTGACCGGACGCCATGAATAGTGATCGGACGCTCCGATCAAGAGACTCGACAATGTATATGCGTCGATGGCGTGCCGACCGGATGCTGAACAGTAAAGTGACCGGACGCACTGATGGTACTGTTCATTATCCCCGGCAACATCTAGTACTGATCGAACGCTGGCGGCAAATCAACCGGACGCAGGATCGCAGCTGCTCGATCGATCGAGTCTGAGAGGTTCTAGAGCGGCGAAATTGCGACCGAACGCGTCCGGTGGCATGTGACCGGATGTTTGGCAAGGTCCGATCGGTTGATCGCGGCTCTAACGGTCGGGACGACCAACGCATCCGATCAGGGACTTACTTGCGCGTCGGCCAAGAGCAGCGTAAACGCGGATTTCATCCCCAACGGCTACTTTCTCCATGGGGCTTATAAATAGCCCCCAACCGGCCATTTGAGTACAGTAGAGCTGAGAAAACATATCTAGGGTGTTGATACACTATTTTAGTGATCTCCATATGCAGAGTACTTAGTGATTCATTGGGTGATTAACGTAGGTGCTTTTACGAAGTGTATAGGTTGATTAGACCACCGTTTATGTGCTTACTCTAGGTTTAGGCCTAGTGTTTAGTGATGTTTGCATACCTCTTACCACTTGATGTTTGCACGCACCATTGTACATCGGAGGGGCTTGTAGTCTTGCGAGATCACACCAACCGCGTTTGTGGTGTAGCCGCCACCGTGTACTAGAGAGAACAAGGCCCGCGGCGTTTCGGCCGGAAGCTTGATAGTGAAGACGGCGGGGAGTGGTCCGGGAGAGGCTTGCCGGAAGACACACCGGAGACCCACTTGCGCGTGGGGAAGGCATGGAGCTATCCACGAAGTTACCCGACCGGGAGCTTGGCCCTTGCGAGGGATTCCTTGTGAGGGGCTCCAACGAGGACTAGGGGGAAGCTTGCGCGCTTCTTGATACCTCGATAAAAATACCGAAGTCATCGACGGGAGTTTGCATATCTCTACCTTGATGTTTAGCTTCCGCATTTACATTATCTACATTACTCCTTTTACGGTAGAGATAGCAACACACTACTAAAATCGTAGTTGCACATTTAGATTGTTTATCTTTTGCATAAGTTTTGCTAAGGTTGAAAAAGATACCATAGTTTAGAAGTAGAATTTTAAGTTGCCTAATTCACCCTCCTCTTAGGCGTCACGGTCCCCTTCAGAGCACAAGCGAGATCCATGGAGGTGGCGCCGCGGTGTTGCAGGGGAGTGGTTGGCTCTACCCCACCCCGACGCAATGCCCTCCTCACCCCTAGTGGTGCCCTCTCTCACCCTGACGACCGAGCTCCCCCTCACCCCGACGGCCGGAATTGACGGACCCAGCCTTCTCCCCCCTATGTTGCATATGATGTTTCAAGCGTTTCAGGCATTTTAGATGTATGTTGCATTTATTTCATATGTGTGTTGCAATAGTAGATCAGGGATGTTGCACATATGGCATATGTTGCAATTGTTTCAGAGGCATGTTGTAAGCGTATGTTTCGAGTGTTTCAGATGTTTCAGAGTATGTTTCATCTGTGCTTTCCGGACGCATGTTGAAAGTGTGTTTATCTTAATGCTGCATATGTTTCACACATGCGTTGTATGTGTTTTATTTGGATGTTGCGTATAATTGCAATGGTTATCAAGTGTTTTTAGGTGTCTTTTTCAAGTGTTTCAGAAGCATGTTTCAAGTGTTTCAACTGCCTTCAGACGTATGTTGCAACTGTTGTATTTGGATGTTTTAAAAGTAGAGCGGGTGTTGCATCTCTCCTCTCCACCTTCTGTTGCATCGTCTCTCCCGACGCCGACAGGGCATCCATACGATGTCGTGGCCGGATCCTTACGAATCGAAGGCGTCGCACGCCCTTCCCCTCTTATCGGTCGGGCGGACGGCGCGAACCTGTGTGGAGCGCGAAATGGTGTGCAGCGTGCACCGTCTGAACATCTGGACGCTAGCACTACCAAACCTAATAAATCCCCCATGGCCCCAACCCCAGCCCCACCCCGTAACCATGTCGGCGTCCGTCCGAGTCCGACTGAAAACGACGCCAAATTTCAAAGCCTAAAATAAAAGGCGTTCGTCCCAATTCATTGTCACGTCGCTGCATCATCTTTAATAAATCTCCGGTTGCTCTCGACGTCACCGTAGAAAAACCCGTTCCAAGCAACAACGCCCCCTGATCCGTCTCAAGAGCATGTCTGAGTCTGAATCTGAAGAGGCATTCAACACTCTGTCACGGTACGGTTCGTAATACTCCGCCCCGGCTTAAATAATTTCCAAAGTACTCCTAGAATAGTAAGTGCATCTTCTTTGATATTCAGCATGTTCGCTGGTTGATTTCTAGGCTGATAAACCTGACTGTTATTGGTTTGTTGTGAAAGAAAAACACTATTGCCTACCAGGCTGATTGAAAAAAAAAACACACGATCCAGTCATCCAGTGTGTTCCGAGCTCCGAGTCGCCGACCCTTTCTCCACTCGCTTGTGAGAAAATAGTAAGGCTGCTGCCGATGTCGGTATCGTGTTGGCCGCGTCCGCTGCCTGCAGATTCTAGTCGGCTCGCCCGCCGTGAGCAGCTGGTCTTGCGGCCTGTTTGGTTTTTACTTTTTATAGGGTCAGGTTGCCAGGGCAAAATGAACGTCGCTGTAGTGAATTGGTCTGGCAAAATGAACGTCGCTGTAGTGAATTGGTCTGGCAAAATGAACGTCAGTTACAGAAGGACAGTCGGTTCTAGGGCCTTGTTTAGATTGAAAAAAATTTCAAACCGATGAATAGTAGCAAGACTGTCAATCTTATTTGGTAAATATTGTCTAATTGTGGACCAACTAAGCTTAAAAGATTCATCTCGTGATTTCCAACTAAACTGTGCAATTAGTTATTTTTTTTATCTACATTTAATGTTCCATGCAAACGGCTAAAAATTAATGTGATGAAGAGAGAGTGAAAAAACTTAGAATTTTGAGGATATCTAAACAAGGCCTAGGACTGCAATCCAGACACGCTGGCTGCTCTGATGTTTTTGACTGGACTACGTGACGCCCCCGGCTCTTTGGATGCCTTGAGGTTGAGGCGGCCGAGTTGGGGGCTTACATTTGGCACACGTGACGGTCAGCAGAGCACCTCATCTGCTTTGTTCATTTTGGTTTATAAATTCGTATTTTTTTTACCCAACGAATAATATTTTTCTTTTAAAATAAATTAATAAACAAAGATTTTCACCATTGTGATTTATTTATAAAGTCGTCGAACAGCGCATTTGTCGCTTCTGGCTTAAACTTGGCGCCGAAGCACTCGTGTCGCGAAGTCGTGCGGCCGGGCAGGCGGGCGGCCGGCCGGTGGTGGCGTGAGCGTGCGGCCGAGCGCGAGCGGGAAACGTTTGACCTGGCTCCGCGTCGTCCGGCGTCACACCCAACGTGTGCTAGTTGCAGGCTTGCCACGCATCGCATGGTCGTCGCGTCCGGCACGTTACCGACAGCGAGCACCAACTGGCTCGTTCAACCCCCGTTCAATCCGCATGTTCCCGACGGACGGAGGCGCTGTGCCGTTTGGCTGTTCCAACCGTTGTCAATCTGTGAGATGCCAATGCGATTCGGTTCCTTTTGATGTAAGCAATGATTGCGGTGCTGCTTAGCTGGTCACGGCCAAGCATAATCGCAGTCACCTCTGGCCGTTACTCGACGCGTACGGCGTATTCTACCGGTGTATTTGTAGACGCCGATACATTCACTGCAGTTTCTTGAAACCGAGTAGCTTCCTGCACTGACCAACCAACGTCGGAGTACACCGGCGACCTTTCAACATCGGCAGCCACTATATAAAATCGCGCGCCTCCCGCTTTACAGATCGACACAAAACCAACCGCCGCCCGCCTCCACTCGCGCCAGCTCTCCTTGTCTGCCACGACTCCAGAGCTTCGAGTATTCGACGACGACAGGGGAGAAACAGGCCGTCGTCTCTGAGGTCTCTCCATCCATGGAGGAGGAGACGCCCAAGGCCAAGAAGCGGTCGTCGTCGTCGGTCCTGGGGAGCCTCCGGGAGGCGATCGCCAAGGTGCGGTTCCTGCTCTCCTTCAGCGCGACGCGGTGGATGCTGCTGAGATCCCTGGCCCGCGCCGGCAGCCGGCGCGGCGCCTCAGCTTCAACTCGCGGCCGGGCCTGCTGGACGTCGAGGACAGCATCGCGTCGCCGGCCTCCTCCAGCTCAAGGACCTCCAGGTCGGCGAGCCTGGGCACGGCGACCACCAGGAGCCTGTCGCGGACCAGCACCAGCAGCGCCGCGGCGTCGCCCGAGGCCCTGAAGAGGGCGTCGTCGGCGTCGTCCAGCGGCCGCGGGTCGCCGGCGGCGGGGATGACGACATCGACCAGCGCGCGGAGCTGTTCATCGCGAACTTCTACAGGCAGCTGCGGATGGAGCGGCAGGTGTCTCTGCAGCTGCGGTACGTCAGGGGGAACAGCTGGGACAGGAGTCCTGCCGCTTCTCCTTCTCCTTCTCCTTCTCCTTCAAGTGGCAGTGTTCATCGGTAGTAGTGCGTAGAAAAAAAGAATTTCGAGGTAGAGATCCTTTCCTTTGCATAGTGCGCGGTGACGGGTTTTTGTTTCTCCATCGTTTCTGCACATTCTTTTTTGGTTTTGAATAGTGCAGTTTATGGTTTGTTTTTTACTTGATTGAGAGTGTAATAAATACAAAAAAAAAAAATTGGCATTTGGTCGACATTATGTAAACAGATGTTCATTTTGACTTTGGTTATGTGAACAAAGAGGAAATCGGAAGCACACTCTGATGCTCAATTGACAGTGTTTGTGTTCAATTGGTTGAGGAACATTTGTATGCCTCTGAAGAGAAAAGGGAGCATTGGTGGCAATAGCATTTCTGTTCAAATAGATGCTTTTGACAATGTTTGGTATTGTTGTATGCAATTAAAAAGAAGAAACACAGACTAGACACTGCAACAGAGCAATTTTCAAAACAAATTTTGTTTCTTGTCTTTCAAATGGCCCAACAGATGGTAGCATGCCAAATGAGTGAATGTTAGTTCCATTAGAAACCCAGAATTTAACCCACGCCCAGACTTGATTAAGATTTTGTAGACATTATTTGCTCCAAAGCAAGTAGCAACTATTCCCCTAATAACATTGGCAACTCGACATTCAAAAGATATAGATTCATCATTGCCACAAAAAGACACATTTGGGATCACCAACCCATCCCCTCTTAATCAAATTATCCTTTGTTAGAATAGGATTATTCTCCATAAGCCGTAGAAAAATTTTGATTTTTTGGAGGGAGTTTTCCTTTCCAAATATGCTTATGAAAATCCAGATGCATTTACTGTCAATGTATTATAGATCGACTTTACAAAGAAATTACCTCTTTTCCCCATTTCCAGCCGACAATATCCATGGTCTGAGAGAATTGAAACATGTTATTTTTTCACATATCAGGTTCCATTGCTCACTCAATTCAGGTTATAACCATCCCCAAAAAGATAGATTCATGCTATTCTCCAAAGACCATTTCACAGTCACCTCTTTTTTTTTTGTCACAAAACAAGAATAAATCCTGAAATTGAGTACATAGAGCAACAAAAATAGTCAACAAGCAAACCAAAACATAACTTTATCTCCATTCTTGCTAAATATAGATCTTCTCTATAAATACAAACCTTTCGCCTTAATAAGTCAGCCCAAATTGGTGAGTCAGTTGGTCTGTGTCTCACAGTACAAACCGGGCTTTGATTATATCCTGCTATAGCCTATAGCCCCCCTTATTTTTCCAATTCTGACCTACATAGCAAACTAACATTTAGCTTCCCAAATGCTCTGGGATGACAGAATAGGCTACAATCACAAAGAAAAATGCTAACTATGTATCAGATGGCAGACTCAAATTTGACTCATTAAGTTACTTCAATAACTGGCAAATGGCTACATTTTTTTTGAACTTTTGCGGCATCCTCCTACATTCTTGAACCTACAAGCTTAGAGAAGACTAATCCAAATAAATCCAACCACATTGGGGTAAGGAACTGCGAGCCACCTTTTAAAAAAAAAAAGAACCGCGTGGCGGTGCCCGTCAGTGCTTAGATCCTCAATGCTTGTTGAGTCCGGAGTCGCGTGGGGGCACGCCGGTGCTTAGATCCAAATGATGGAGGGGGCAATGGTGATGCGAGAGATGGGGTCTAGGGAAAAGGCAAAGGGAAGCGACAGTCCAGCGATGGGATGGGCAGAAGACAGAGGGAACCGGTAGTCCCGACGATGAGGCTATGCCGAATGCCCTCCTTTTTTTAATGTAATGGCATAAGCTCTGCCTTTCAATTAAGAAGAAACAAAATTGATCCAATTTATAAAGAAAATCAGATATGAAAATCTTACAGTCACACAATTTGTTAAAAGAAAACCAATGAAAAAACTAAACACACAAGCCCAGATGACTAACCCTAGGCAACCCACTTACAAACAACCGTACGAGCCCACTGCACGTCATTGTTGTTGAACTTATCACAACAGAGCAGCTCCAACTTCCCATGACGAACATCAGCCAAAACCCCTAACACACTGCCACTTGCTCACACGAGTCGTGACCTCCAAAGAAAGTGAAACACAACATGTCATTGTTGCCAAGCTTTGTTGTACCCCACAGGAAAAGCAGCTCTAACTTTGTCTCTACAGATTCACTCTAGAGAGCTAGGCACACACCACAAAGCAAGTAGCAAACCTGTAAGAGCACGGCCTCGAGGAAAACCCAAGGCCTGCAGATAAGTAACAAACGTCCCACGTGGACCGGCATCTAAGAAGGCAGTGCGAGATCTTCTAGGCGACTTCACGAAGGAAATGGCGTTGATCGTCAGCGTCACCTGTCTAGAAACACTAAGTGGAGTTTCCTCAAAAGAACCCCACAAGGTGAAGATATAGCATATCAACGACGCTTCCAAGGAAGGAAGTGACACCAAAGTGTCACTGTTGTCGGCTCCGGCAAACACCGGTTGAGGTTTTCGCCCGACGCATTCCACCTCACGCCTGTAAAATAGGGGTGCACCATCACTGACGTTTTGGTGCTTGGTCAAGACGTGTGGCCAAACATTGTTGCTCCTATGAAGCAAGGTGAAGTTGCTCGTTGCCCGCCACCGCATGTGGCTCATGAGCTGAGCTTTAGAGTAATTTGAAAGGTCTAATATGGCTAGAGGGTGGGTGAAAAGCCTATTTAAAACTCTACAAATCCACAAGAGCAATTGATTAGTACAACAAACGGTGTAATGCAATTTTTCTCTAGCTCTACAAGGGTTGCAAGCCACCTATTTCAACAATTCTAGTTGCTATGATCACTAGGCCACACAATAGCTAGGTCACTACTCACTAAGCTAGTGTGCTCTCAAAGACTAACTAAAGAGCCACACTAACCAAACTAGCAAGCTTTCAAAGAATAACTACGCTAAAGAGCTTGGCAACTAGTTTGCAAGAATGTAAAGGAGTGAGTAGGGTGGTTGTACCGCCGTGTAGAGGAATGAACCAATCACAATATGAAGTCAATCCAACCACTAGGAGAATTTCAATCACACAAGAGACACGAGATTTTTCTCCCGAGGTTCACGTGTTTGCCGACACGCTAGTCCTCATTGTGTCGACCAATATTTGGTGGTTCAGCGGCTAAGAGGTATTCCACGAACCCCGTCCAACAAATGGACACCGCAAGAACCTACCCATAAGTGAGGTAACTCAATGACACGAGCAATTTACTAGAGCTACCTTGCGGCTCTTCGCCGGGGAAGGTGCAAGACCCCTCAAAATCACCAAAGACGGCCACGAACAATCACCAACTCATGCCGAAGCTCCTCCGTTGCTCCAAGCCGTCTAGGTGGTGGCAACCACCAAGAGTAACAAGAATTCCATAGCCACAACGATCCCCAAGTGCCACTAGATGCAATCACTCAAGCAAATGCACTTGGAATCTCTCCCAATCTCACTATGATGATAAATCAATGATGGAGATGAGTGAGAGGTGTTTGCTTAGGCTCACAAGAATGTAAAGTATGTCAAAGTGCCAAGAGAGTGAGCCAAGGGCCGGCCAAGACACTTAAATAGGGAGCCAACCACGAAAGAGCCGTTGGCCCCCTCACTGCCTATCTTCACGAGCCGATCGGACGTGCATATGGGGTATGACCTGACGCACGCACCCAGCGTCCGGTCAACCATCGCTGTCCACGTGTTGCCTCCTTTCAATCTCCACCGCATGATCTCAACGGCTAACAGCTAAACCCCAACGGCTAAGTCACGACCGGACGTTGCTGAGCCTGACCTGACGCTGTAGCTCAGCATCCGCTCGTGCATGCGCCCGCGCTATAGAGCCCTCGACCTGACGCGCCGCCAGGTGACCGGACACACCATCAACGTGGAGTCCGGTCACTTCCAGTAAGCACCCTAGAGGGTTTTTTCTAGATCTAACGCGTTCGCTCGAGGTTGACTGGATGCAGACTGGCATTCGGTCCTCTTCGCCTCACTCGTCGAGCCACACGCTGCTCACGTCATTGTATGTCACTGCCGACCGGACGCAAGCACTGCGCGTCCGGTCGCACCTCCTTTGCTGAGTTCGGTCGTAGACCCGAAAGCGCCCTTCTCTATGCTAGCTGACCGGATGCGCCAGGGGTGAGTCTGGTCACCCCATGGCCAGAGTCCGGTCAGGGACTTTCTCCTCCTTTTCTTTTTCTAAGTCCACAACCACTTCGTCCATGCTTCTAACTTGCTAACCACAAAGTGTAGAACTTGTGTGCACATGTGTTAGCATTTTCCAAAGCATTTTTTAAGGGTCAAAGTTAGCACACTAGGTTCCTAAATGCATATGCAAGAATCATGTCACCTAGCGGCACTCGATAACCGCTTAGCCAAAGATTTTCCCTCTTTATAGTATGATTATCGATCATAAATCACTCACACCCTCTATGGTGAGTGCAAACCAAAAATGGCTCCTATCAATATACCTTCGCCTTGAGCCCATTTTAGTTTTTCCCTTTCTTCTTTTCCAAATGTGAAGCACTTGATCATCTCTTTTGTGGCCATCACCTTCACCATGGCCATCACCTAGCTTCACTACTTGGATTGGACTACCTCATATAAATTACACACTTAGATCAAAGGTTAGTCCTAAGTTCAACAATTATCCAAAACCAAACTAGGGCTTTCAATCTCCCCCTTTTTGGTAATTGATAACAACCTATTTACAAAGATATTCAATAACATCTTTTTAGATTCATGTTGCTTGCCCAAGCATATTACCATGTGCAAAGGTTATGGACAAGTTTCATAAACCCAAATTAGTAGTATTAGCTCCCCCTACATATGTGCTAAGAGTTTGGATTTAAAAGCTTGCACATATTCATGGATTGAAAGTTTGGGAGAGTAATAGCTACCAAATGATGCTAAGGTGTAAAGAATGAACCTTTGAAGCGTGATACCAATCGGAGTTGCCATTTGAACACCATCCTTAGCATCATAATTTGCTAGATATCACTTGAAAAACAGAAAAACACAAA